GTAGAACCTGCATAGGGTTCGAACAGGAAGTGGCAGGAAGCTTTCCAGGGAAAATATAAGAGCAGACCCTTTGATCTGAGCAGCTACTTATTCTTTACCTAATAAAGGAGCAGCATGCAGCCCTGCCTTTACTCCCAGCACCTGAGGTGGAGGCAGGAGGATCCCAAGTTTGAGGCCAACCTGAACTTCTGTTCATGAAGGGTGTGCTTGGTGCCTGGTTCTAGTCCAGGTTGCTGACCATCTGATCGCAGACTCACAAGACACCACAGGTCACACCTGTCACTATCATCCCACGCCAGATGAGGAGGGGTGCAGAGGACAGAAGGGAGAAACCCCTGCCCCCTGTCAGTCTGTGAAGGAGTCAGGGATGAGAAGGGTAGATGCTTCTCATTTGGTGGCTGATGAATCTAAACTTGTCGTATATCATAGGCACCACCGGAGCTTGGGAGAAGACAGGGAGCAACTCCCCCTTGGGTGACTCCTGGCTGTGACCTCCACCTGGCTGCGAGGAAGCTGTTCAGACTCCCCCACACTAGGCTTCTTTCCCCAAGGAGAACACGCCAGGGGTTCTGCTGCTCTTGGCCAGGTGACAGCCTTCCCTCCTGAGCTTGTTTTGGAATCAGGACAGGGTACCTGGTCCAAGGTAGCCATTAAGATACTGCTCAGACCTAGCTTCGGAGATGAAGCTGGTGTCCAGGATAAAGACAAAACAGTCTTTGCTTGGAGCATCAGATGAGGCATGGCCCCAAGGTCACAGATTATCTTTATAGAAAATGACCTGATCCACCCCAGAGGAGTTGAAACAGGTGAGTCTCCATCACCTGGAACCAAGGGGGTCATAAGACGTGAATGGGGCAGGGGCTCTTGTCCTTAGCTCTACTTCAGACCCAAGTCCTCTTCTTGTGAGTCCCATTTTGGGTCCTTTCTTCATCTCCCCCACCTCTCTCTCTCTCTCTCTCTCTCTCTCTCTCTCTCTCTCTCTCTCTCACACACACACACACACACACACACACACACACACACACCCCGCATCTTTCTCTACTCACACGTTTATAGACATGACTGAAAGTCAACTGAGCTGGTTTGCTGGGGTTTTAGGGAAACTTTAAAGGAGGCTGGCATCCAAAAGATTAACTTTTTATCCCTCCTCCCCACTTCCTTCCTCCTGCCAATGCAAAGATGATGCCTGGAGCTTCAGCAGCCTTCTTGAAACTCTAAGACAAAATGGAGAAAGGAAGCCAGGACTACTGATGACGGAGCAGGACAGCGGATGAACCAACTGCCTTGGTGATTCTCCCTGGACAAATCCCTTTCTGCCTGAGAACAGTACAGATGGGAGAACAGAGCCCTTTAGCTGCGTGAGAGCAAGCATGCTTGGCTCCCTGTTATATGCTCCTTATATCCAGCTTAATAAATGTTCATTTATGTCTAGCTGAAGTGACAGGTGCCCATGCGGCCCCCACACTCTCTGCAAATTACTCGCACAATGAGAAGATATATATTCTGCCATCATTAACAAAATCCCTCTGTTTTAAACATGATACATCATCCAAGGGCAGAGTGGCAAGAAAGTCCCACCTCTCCTGTCCCAGAAGTCCTTGTTTGCATGTAATCAATCTGGAAAGTGAAAGACAAGCAAATAGCCCAGGCTAGGTAAGACGTTGTCATCAGCTCCTCCATCTACGCTAAAGACAACTGGTTGAATCCAATGAGACCAGCTGATCAATGGCCCCCATCTCCTTCCTGTAAGCCAGCTTCCTTCAAACTCACTGGCTTTTCTTTGATCCACCCAGAACCTGTGGGGAGCCCTGCCCTTGACACACCCCTAAATCTTAGCCATGATGCCCTGAGGCTCTTGGCATAAGAGTAGCTTATGAGTGAGCCCACCCACACGCGTGCACATATCACACACACAACCCTCTAGCACACCCAGGCCAGTCTCAGTTCTTGAAGCCTTAAACATTGCACACAGGATAGACAGAGCATAAAGAGTGTCCCTTTCATAGGCTGCCACTATGACAGTGTGAAGACCAAAATGACCCTGGCCACTTCTGGCCCCTGAGAGTAGGCATGAGGATGTGCCTTTTGAGACATGACATAAACCCAAAGCCCCCTTGGTTTTAGTAAAGAAAGGCTGCTCTGTGCTCTGGTCTGGGTCCTCGGTGTAGCTTACTTAACCTTTTCACTATGACTCCTCTCCCATATGTAATGATCTTCCAGTAACAAGAATCTCGAGGAGCTAAAAGGACAGCTGCCACTGTTTCAGCCAGGAAGCATCAGGGCCAAATCCAGCTGTGCCACCTCTGGCAGGTCCATGCCTGTTGAGCCTGGGTTGTCTGGCCTTTGGCCCAGCTGGCTTCACTGGCACAGAAAGCCCCCCTGGCTGCCCGTTCTTGCCCTTATCCCTGTGCTGAGTGGGCAGCGGGCTCCCCGGCACCTGCACATCTTCAAAGCAGCTGCTGTGTGGAATCTCTGCTGAGGCAGGGAGTAAGGTGAGTGATTGTCTCCTGTCCATGTGCTGGGGGTTGTTCTGGTGTTACATGGAGGGCACGCACCGAATAAAATGGGAACTGGCCTTTGTAAAGATGTTGATAATAATGCCGATAATGACAGTAATAATAATGGTGGTAATCGTGATACCTAGAACCCAAGGTTTCTTGAGAGGACCAAGGAGCACTGCCTATTTGCCTGCTAAGTGAGACCATGGTGAATAAAGAGCCCATCATGGACTGAGGTCTCAGGAGAGACCTTGCTTTAAGGACAAGATCCATTCTTACCAGAATACCACAAGGCAGTGGGGCCCAGGCCGAATGAAAGTGGCTAGTCACATCTCTGTGGACATGGCTATCCTGGTAACAGTATATCCTGGCAACTGGTATACACACCCCAGAATCTTCCCAAGGCTCACACCTATGAGATTCTAATTCTTGCTTCACAGTGAAAGAAGGCCGGACACCAGGGGCTTCAACATCTCAACAGCACCACCACCAGAATCAGACACAGAGTTGATGCTGATGATATAAATAGCCCTGCACAAAAGGTCATAGAGCACAGAACCCACTATGATGGAGACCAGAGGTAGACAAGGCCACAAACCACAGGTTAGTTCCAGGCTGAGCACACCATGACAGCAGGATTCTGGGCAAATTGCACTGTCATGAAGTTAGGAACACTTTCTGTTTGCAGTTAGACGTCCCTTCTGAGCGTGGTCTCAGTTCCTGCCCTAGAATGAGCCCCTATGGCTCCTGCCTGCAGCAACCCTCAGCTCCGTGTGGCAAGTGGAAGTCACAACAAAGTCACGAACCATGTGTGTTGTATGTGTGTTCATATGTGTGAACGCGGACCTGCACATGCCATGGCACATGCATGCAGAGGTCAGAGGACAACCACATTAGTTATCACCCTTTGCCTTGCTTGAGATGGCATGTCTTGCTTGCAGTCATGCATGCCAGGCTCTGCCCCCTATCCTGCCACGAGTACTGGGATTACAGACCCCCCTGCAGTCTCCCTTCAATCTTGAATCTTGTCATCCAAGTTTTGTGGCCACGGGGTGTGGCCCCTGAGAGCTGGGAACCACCCACAGTTATCTAAACACATATAAACAGTCCTCAAGTGGACTGACAGAACTAACTGGGAAAATTCAAACCCTACATTGACCTGTGACGTCTCCAGCAACCTCAGTGGGTTGCAGAAGCAACATACTTGTTGCAGAAGCCAATTTCAAAGTTCACGCTACCTGATTCTCCCAGTCCACAAGGGGATGGGTGCAACTAGCTCTGGATCACCCTGGTCCTTTCTAAACACTAGAGTTTTCACTTAACCAATTCTATGCTCAACCAGGGGCAGGACCTGAAACCATAACCAGCAGCTCTAGGGATGCCGAGAAAGCAAAACACAGTGTTCCAGACACGGGAGCAGATCCCTCTTCCGAGGGACCTCTCAAGCACAGTGCAGGAGAAAGCTGAGAATGTATGACTAACCCATTCACAGAGGGGCAGTTTGTGCTGTTTCCACCAAAGACCAAGTTCCCTCCTGGGCCAGGCCAGCCATTCAATGCTGTTTCCACCAAAGACCAAGTTCTCTCCTGGGCCAGGCCGGCCAGCCCGTGTTATGCTCAGGGCGGATGGAGCTGCTCTAGAGCTCATTCAGCCAGGATGCTGACTCATTCTTAACCCGGGAAGCCCCACACACCCCAGTGAGTTGCTCAGAACAGGCTCCTGTCTACCCTGCAGCCTGCCTGCTATGCCACTTTTAAAGCAAGGGACCATTTTTCAGATTTGCTTAGGAAGCGACCTAGCAGTTACAGTAACTGTTATTTGACAGTCAAGTTAAGTGCATAAGAACAGTAACTCAGGCCGCTTCACTCCCCTTTCCCTCCCCTGTCTTCCACCATCCCCCTCCTGCTGGTTCCCAGCCTGTGACTTTTCTTTCTTTCCAGCACGATTTTCCACCTGGAGCATTAAGGGGATGGAAGGGACATAAATCCAGTCCTGAAGCCATTCACATGTGTTCGGAGAAAAGCCAAAAGTCTGCCTCACTGCCATATTTCATGCCCTGCAGCTGGGCAGCTCAGGTCAGGCTGCTTAGGTCAGTGGCCAGAAGCTGCCCGGGGGCTCTTCCTTCTACTTCTTAGGAGCAGAAGCTAGTCCAATCTCAGCCAGCGCTCAGATAGCACAGACTCACCCACTCCATCTCTGACCTTCGTTGGCGTCTAGCTAGGAGTCCCTCTGAAGAGGCTCCTTCCTAGGCAGGCATCATCACTACGTCTCACGCTCTCTTCTGAGACAGCACTACACACAGCCAGCATCCACGAGGCACAGCTAAGAAACTCCCCAGAGTCCCCTAGACACAGCGGAGGTGGGGTGGAGGCAGAGAGAGCCGCTTTTCTGACATCACAGACTTTCAAAGTCTGGGAGAAGCAGTGTCTACCCCCAGGACACCGCAGCTGTCACAGCTCTGAGGCGCACACAGCATAGACTTCATTGACAGAATATACTCACCGGGGAGAAGCTGATGCATGGCTCCACTCCCAGCCACTGGGCTGTGAAGATCCCAAGATGTGCGCAGCTTGCCTGGAAAGTCACTTTGAAACTTAGAAAGCAGCCACTGTAAAGTCACTGAGTCCCCTCCATTCTCAGAGTTGTCCACATGATTAAGAAAAAAAAAAAAAAAGACAAGAAAAAGAAAAAGGCGCACACCTCAGCCTTCATTGCCACTGGAACCAGATGACTCATGCTGACTCAGAACCACCACTTCCTCTCCCGACATTCTCTTCATACTTGTGAGCCGGGCTGGTCCGATTCCCAGGGTCTCCACCACCCTTCCGGAAAGAGCAACTTCCCAGACCCAGGCAGAGAGAGCCTCCAGCTCACAGCCAGGCAACACGGGCACTGGGGAAGAAATGCTTTGTTTAGCAGACTCGGGACAACTGAAACTAAAAGGCAGAGCTCTCATATGTAATTGAGAGTCAGATGCTCATGGATACTGAAACGCAGCTCACGGAAGAGGCAAGAATCCATCTTTGCCATGTTGTTAAGGCATCTGGGGTTTGCTTTGCCCTGATAACACCCATTTCCGTTCACGCTTTCTTCTGCACATAGCCCTGATCTAAAATTATTGTCTATTCTGAGCTGCTTGTGAGAAGCGTGTGTAGACCTCAGTGACTTGGTTTTCAAAGATAGGCTAGATCACAAGAGCAAAAGAGCCAAGGAATGAAATCAAAGCCATGGCTCTCTAACTTTTAAAATCTACTGGACGTTTCTGTACCAGAACCAAGAGCCCGCCTCCCGCCTCCGGGTCTGAGTTTTCTTTTGAATGATGCAGAGGGCGGGGCCGTCTTCCGCAGCTTCAAGCATTTTTAAATTACGAGAAGTACCCCAGAGAAAGCGGAATCCACGTACCACTGAGCAGCCTCTGGTGAGGCCAGGTAGGGTTGTTGATATCTCTATGCTCAGTTCCCCCTCAAAAAAATGTGCTATCAAAAGTAAGGTTTTCCTGAATTTAAAAAGAAAAAAATAAAGCATCCGTCTCACTTTGAACCATGCACTGTGGCTTATCAGAGAATTCTTATAAAGAACACAGCATATATGTGGGCCAGAGACTCTCTTAAAGATGCATTTTTATTTTATGTGCATTGGTGTTTTGCCTGCAGAGATGCCTGTGTGAGAATGTTGGATTCCCCCGAAACTGGAGTTACAGACAGTTGTGAACTCCCATGTGGGTGCTGGGAATTGAACCTGGATCCTCTGGAAGAATAGCCAGTGCTCTTAACTGCTGAGCCATCTCTCTAGCCCCTGGAGATTCTCTTAAACACCTGCAGGTGAGGGAAGGAGAGGAGATCTGGTGGCACAGAGGCAGGAGTCGAAACCCATCCATAGCCAAGGCAGTGTTTCTCAACCAGGGAATTGAGACCCCTCTGGGGGGCTCAAACGGCCTTCTTCACAGTGGTCACCTTAGACCACTGGAAAACAGATATTTATATTACTATTCATAACAGTGGCAAAAATCACAGTTACGAAGTAGCAATGAAATAATTTTATGGCTGGGGATCACCACGACTAGAGGAACTGTATTAAAGTGCCGTGGCATTAGGAAGGTTGAGGGCCTGGACTACTTGTCCTTGGAAATAACTTGCAAGTAGATTTCCCCTGCAAAGCATCCAGATACCAGCCCAGCCCTTCTAGGACTTCAGGGTTGTTGGAATAGACAATCTGGTATAGTCTGCCCAGACTTCTGAAAACTACTAAATGAGAGAGGAGGGGGTTTCAGTACAAAGTGCAAAGGGTTGGGTAATCAATATATATATATATATCCGAAGGCCAGTATACTAGGCCCATTTGTAAAATCCAGACAATAATAGTTCCCTTTAGGATTGTATAAAAACTAAGAGCTAACTGCAGGGCCTGCAAGTTAGTGAGCGTCTCTGCAGGTCAAAGCTGCTATCGGATGGTATGTGTGGTTTATTGTTTGAAAGTTTTCCTACCGGTCTAGTAGTTGAGTCACAGGCCACAATCAAAAGTCTAGAATTCAGACAGATGAATCGCACACTAAATATGTAACAGCTTTAAAAATCCAGGGCCCTTGATAAAAATGTATGCTCATAGGCTGTTATTTACCAATGCAAACCATGATGAAGACAAAGACAGAGACGCAGAACAGGACCTATGGAACTCAACCATTCCCAGATATTCAACAAGTGGGCTCCAGATGTCAGGCTCTGATGTGGCCTTGGGAAACAGCAAGAGAAAAAAAAAAAAAAAGCAAGTTCCCTGTTCTCAGGAAGCTTACTCTCAAGGGATGGGACAGAAAAGAAGTACACAGGAAGAGCTCAAGACTATGACATGAACTGTGTGAAGCATTGCTAGCAGTAGAGTGCAAAGTCCTTGACATGGGTGGGCTGTGGAGATGGAGATGGGTTGGGAAGGAGGGAGGAAAGGGGCTGGGAGTCTGTGCCTGATGTAATAAGAAAGTGGGGGCGGGGCAGGGTGGATTAACCAAGAGAGCAGATGGCCTGGTTGGAATTTCCCAAGGACAGCACTTGCTGGAAATGGAGCACCAGGGAGTGCAGTCAGCTCCACTGTGGTCTGGTGATAGCGATGGGAACCATGGAAACCGAGTGATGTGGTCCCAGTGGAGGCGTGGGATGGGTTGGGTAGGGCAATGGTAGGCACAGATGAATCCATTAGAACTCTGGGACTTCTGGGTTGAGCAGTAAAGTGGTGCCACCTGCGAAGATGGCAGAGACAGTCACAGTGAGGCATGCTCCCTGTTCTAGCTACTGTTTGGCTGTGTCGAAAAGACGGGCCATGGAAATGCTCTTAAAGATGTCGTTGGACATTAAGTGCAGGGAGATGGCCTGGGTTCAAAACAGACTGGAGAGGTAATGATCACGCGGTGGAACCAAAGGCCTGGCCTCGCTGGGAAAGGTGCACAGAGATGAGAGGGAGAGATAAAACAAGACGGTTCAGACTCTTGGTCAGCGAGCCTAGAGAGAACTGAGAAAACCAGGGCTCACAGCCAAGGGCTGGAGGTTTCAGGAAAGCAAGGAGAGGCCAGCTGGCCAGGACTGCTGGGAGTTCCTGTCAGACGGAAGCAGGGCAGGGCATGTTGGCCAGGGCACAGGAGGCCATGGTGACCAGGTACCTGGCAGCCTCTGTGACCCAGACAAAGCCTGGCAGCAAGAGCTGGCAACAGGGTGAACTCAGCCAAAGAAGTGGGAGCCAGATCCAAAGGCAGCGCCCTCCAAAAGGGCACCAAGGAGATGGATACGTGGCTCTTGGAGGCCTCAGTTAGAACAGTGATATCAATTAAATAACAGAAGCCCTGCAGGGTAGTACATGCCTATTTCCCCATTACTCAGAAGAGAAAGGCAAAAGGATTGTGAGTTCAAACACAGCCTCGACTTCATAGCGAGACTCTTGTCTTCATCAAACACCCCATCCCTGGATTTAGATGTTGTGGCTACCTGTGTCTGTGTGTAACCAGGGCTCCTATTGTCCTGTGTGTGGAGAGGATAGAATGTATGGCTTTAGGTGCCCAATAGCAATCAGGGCACCACCCACGAGTTGGTGTTCTGTGCTTTTCCTTCAATCCTATAGACACCAGAGCTACAGTCCTAGGTCATGTTCAAATCAATCGTCTCTGATTCAGTGAAGATGGGCAGTACTTTTGAAATGTAACAGGAAAAATGTAAAGTAATACCGTTGTAAGTTGCCAAGGCAGTTGTAATTGTGACAGACAGAAGAGCATATGAATGGCTTCTTTCTGCTATAAGCAATATCTGATACCACCCAATGTCACTTCCTATGATATGATGTAAGTACTAAGTTTCGTAGACTAATATGTCAAAGAAAAAAGTAAAAATATCTAAAACCTGCCTGGTCTGATGCAGACTGCCATGAAGGAGGGTGGAGCCTAGTCTCTGATATACCATCTTGGTTGACAGACAAGTCGTTTTGTTATTAGCAGTATTAGCTTCTTAATTTCCAATTCTCATTGCTCGCAATGCCCCTCACGTCTTCCTCAAACACCCCGTGTAGATGCACCTCCCCCAGGAGCTCTGCATCGGCTTTAACTGGACTGAGAAGAAATCACACTTTCCGAGGGCGGCTGGCAGGTGGCTGGATTTCATCCAATTGGAACTTGCCAGAGTGCATTCATGTTCCTCCCAAGTAGCTTTCGGTGGAAAACAGTGAGTTTGGGATCTTATCCGAGGCTGTTGACTGCAGGCCTGAGCAGAGTTTCCCAGAGGAGCACTGTGGTCCCTGAGGGTCACCCCATCCCTCCCCGAACCACTCCTCCCTCCCTTCCAGGCACCGAAGCCTCCATTCATCCTTCCTGCTCACCAGCCGGGCTCTGCCGCCTTCCCTGAACCACTTCTTTCACTTTTGCAGCGACACAAAGCCACAGCTCTGCCAGCCCATTCTCTGGCCTTCACATCTGCACAGCCTCATGAGGCCAGGTGGCGTGGAAGTGGAGGGGGTCGTCTCTGAGTCTAACAGACGAGGGTTTGGAACTGGCCTCCCAACTCAGTGGCTTTGAAGACATGCCTGTCCTGAGGTTTGATGCCCACACTTACAAACTGTGGAAAGTCACAGCCCTAAGAATACCCTCAATGCAGCGTTTGGCGGGGATTAAATGAGGGGGCTTACTGTAGAGTGGCTGGAACGCGGCTCCCTTAGTCAGCACCAGCCAAAGCAGGTCGTTATTGTGAATATGTGAAACTTTGGTCCATACCACCCCTTCCTGGGTACCTCCCCTTCCTGTCTCCCCCTGTACCCGTCACTCTCAACCACCTATTCTTAGGTTGGCCTGCCCATGTGTGAACAAAAGCAGTGATAACTTAGGTTAGAGAGAAGTCTGACATCGGCTGTGTGGGCTGGCGGGGCAGCCCCAACTATCACTAGGATATCAGGCACTTGGGGTTCTGATCTGCCATCTGGAACTTGGCTTTCTTCAGATGACACCACAGACCAAAATGGTTGCTGAAAGTCAGCAAATCTATATTCTTCATCTTGACAGTAGAAGGAGGTGAAGTTCTGTAGTCTCTCTATTAGGAGAGAAAGAAGAAGGAAGGGAGGACTCTCCCCTCCCGCAACAAAAAAAATTGTGCAACATAACTCCTATCTTCACCACCTTGGAGCTTAGCTGAAGCCGCTACCGGGTCAATTTCTCCATGTCCCGAAGTAGGTCTCGCGGTCTCTTCTAGCTGCTAGGTGTAGTTTGTCTCTGGGCGATCTAGTAGTAATATAGTAGGGCTTCTAGGTAAGCAGGGCAAAGAGAAAGTGTATCCATTCCTAACCAGCAGCATTGGTCATGGCCTGGGACACAGGTAGACATCAGTGCCCTTCTGTGGGATCTGATGTAGGACATCGTGAAAGAGGTGATCCACGTCCCATATGGGCCACAGATGGAGGGACACAGTCACACCACACAGAACCCAGCTGCACCAGTCCAGGGAGGCAAAGAGCGAGCCCAGGAAGGAGGTTGCCCTGGCTCTGACTAGGCAGATCCCTAGTCACCTCTTGACCCGAGCACGTTTTACGTGGAGTCCCATTCATGCTGACTCAACGCCCATGATGACAGCTGCTTGTTGTAATGAATGGGCTGAGCTTACAACTGATTGTCATGATACCCAGGAGACACAGGGGCTCTTTCCTGCTCTCTGCAGCCCCCCCCCTTCATCCATGCTGCCTCCTTGGAGAGTCTCAAAAGCACCACCCTTGCCTGCATGCTCCCCCTCCCCGTCAATGCCTCTTTTTCATTCTCTTCCTC